GAGGGAGGACCACAGGCAGTGCCAGGGGGAGTGAGGGAGGACCACAGACAGTGCCAGGGGGGAGTGAGGGAGGGCCACAGGCAGTGCCGGGGGAATGAAGCTAGTCACTACACACAAAATTTTGGGTGACGATTTCCAAACTATGCCAGCTTAAAAATGTTCACAAGAGGTTACCTACTTATGCCTGTTCTAGAATAAAGCTTTGTATTTAGAATCTTACCTCAACAGCCTGCACATGTGCTCACACCCACAAGAACACACACACCAAACACACACACAATTTCATATGCAAAGCAGAGGGATACAGTGTAGACTCTGCCACCTCACCCTGAGTTCAAGCACAGCCCCTTGGCATGAGTGGACCTCCCATGGTGTGAGGTCGGCAGCAAGGCAGGAAAGGAAGGTGCTCCAGGTCAGGTCCTCCCTCCTGAGGCTCTGCAGCTCCACAGCGGGCCCCCTGTGCATAACCCCACCCCACAGAACCTTCTCCTCTTCTGCAGGGACGTATTCTCTGATCTTCCTCTATACTGGGCTATCCAGGCCCAACAAAGGCAGCCCCAGGTTTCAAGCCACCGCGTTTCTCAATGACCAGGCCTTCTTCCACTACAACAGCAACAGCGGGAAGGCAGAGCCCGTGGGAGTGTGGAGCCAGGTGGAAGGAATGGAGGACTGGGAGAAGGAGAGCCACCTTCAGAGGGCCAGGGAGGAGATCTTCCTCATGACCCTGAAAGACATCATGGACTATTACAAGGACAGTGCAGGTCAGTGAGCTCTTCTAGACCAAGGAGTTGGAGGGTCTTACCTGAGGCAGCCTGGTGAGTGTGAGTGGAAAGGAATCCACAGGATGAAACTAGACACACACACACCACAATTAATTAATTAATAAAAAAGAAAAAGAAATTAACAGTAACTTACATTAGCCGGGCCTGGTGGCGCACGCCTGTGGTCCCAGCACTCTGGGAGGCAAAGGCGAGTGGGTCTCTGTGAGTTCGAGGCCAGCCTGGCCTACAGAGTGAGTTCAGGACAGCCATGGCTACACAGAGAGACCTGTCAAAAAACAAAGAAACAAAACAAAAAAAGTTACTTGCATTCACTGCACATTTACTCTGTGCCGGGCTCAGGCATGAGCACATTTAATGATCGAAATAACATCTCCAAAGACCATCACTCTTGTCATTTCAGGGTTTTTTTAAAGTGTTTCACTTAAACTTAGCTATATTTCATAGTTCGTTCAGCAAGGCAGGTGGGCGGCCAGGGAGAGAGCTGGGATTTAAACCCAGACAGTTTAAGAGCGTTTAGAGCCTGTGCCAACAGCGCCACTCAGGCTGGGGTAAACACCTGCTGTTGTAAACAGACCTACCTGTAGGTCACTCTGTGTAAGAGTCATTGTTCAGGGGGGAATGGGTTCAGGCTCTAGTGTTGGAGGAAACAGTGAGGATGGTGGCTTATCAGTGATTCCAGGATCCAGAAGGCTGAAGCAGGGAAATTGCTGTTTGTGGCAGCATGGGCTACGTGATGAGATCCAATCCAGCCTGAGATCTCCCATCTCACAAAGTGAGACCCTGTCTCAAAAATAAACAAACAAATAATACGATGCTAACCACTGAAAGGAGGGAAATAATCTAATTATGTATGGAATAATGCTTTGAAAGCAACACAGAACCAACCAGTGGAAATTCCTATAATCTATAAGAAACCATGAATAAGCCAGGCACAGCAGCGCACGCCTGCAATCCCAGCCCTCAGGGAGGCCGGGGCAGGAGGATCGCTGTGAGTTCGAGGACAGCCTGGTCTACAGAGTGAGTCCAGGACAGCCAAGGCTACACAGAGAAACCCTGTCTCGAAAAACCAAAAAAAAAAAAAAAAGGAAGGAAGGAAAGAAGGAAGAAAGAGAGAAAGAAAAAAGAAAGAAATGAACAAACAAACCATGAATAATTCCCATTTAGATTTAGCTTGGGCATAGAGTCCAGGGTGTTTAATTCTGAAGAACTCACCATCCCTTAAACATATAAGTTCATTAGAAGAGAAGATGCAAAAACACTTGAAATCTGAGTGCTTGCCTAGCACACACAAGGTCCTGGGTTCAGTTCCCAGCACCACATAAAACTAGGTATGGTTTCACACACCCATAATCCCAGAACTAGGAAGATGAACACAGCAGAGTCAGGAGTTCAAAGTCATCCTTGATACCTAGAGTATATGAGGTTATTAGCTGAGACCCTGTAGACAGGGGTCCATTATTGCAATCTGTCCATTATTTATGAAATTCTCCAACTATAAGGTATGTGTTTCCTCTCAGAGTAGCCTGAAACAACCAGCCAAGTAGTTTCTTCCTCTGCTGTGTGCCTGGCTAGCAACCCTGCCACAGCACGCTGGCAAAGTCAAAGAGTACTGAGCGGGAAGTGAGGGTTGAAAGAAAGAGAGCAAGACATAAGGGATCAGCTTGAGAGGACTCTCAGTAAAAACTGTAGCAGCCCCGTTTACTCCACAGCTCCTTTTTATAGGCAAAACAAGGCACATCAATACAAGGAAGGGGTTCATGGAGCAGTCAAACTTGTTTCCTTAGACTACTTCTCTTAAAGCAGAAATGGTTCAAAATCACAGAAACAAGTTAAGGGAACTTTGCAAAAGTTCCTGCTATTTTCAAGGTGAAGGCCAGGGTGAAACGTTTTTCGATAAACACTCAATAACAAAGCAGCTTGCCAAACAAGCAGCTCTCCACACAACCCATTTGCCAAGACGAAGACTTGAGTGTTTAGATATATCAAGCATGCAGGAATGAAAGTCACTCAGCTGGAGTTGGCATCCATCTGACTGACTCCCTGTGGGGTGGGGGAGGCTTCAGGGTCTCACACCTTTCAGGGAATGTTCGGTTGTGAGATCTCGAACAACCGAAGCAGTGGAGCATTCTGGAGGTACGCCTACGACGGGAAGGATTTCATCGAATTCAACAGAGAAATCCCGGCCTGGATCCCCTTAGACCCGGCAGCTTCGAACACCAAGCTGAAGTGGGAGGCAGAAAAAGTCTACACACAGCGAGCCAAGGCATACCTGGAGGAGGAGTGCCCAGCAATGCTGAAGAGGTACCTGAACTACAGCAGATCTCACCTGGACCGAAAAGGTACGCACAGCTTTCAGGATCTGCTCCAAACACTGAGCTGAAAACCAAGATAATCTCAGGTGTAGAGGATCATGACACATGGCCCCGGCAAACCCTATTCGTCCCTTAATCCCCCAGGTTTCATACACTAGGATTCATTCCTTCTGAACCCATGATGTGAGAGCCAAAAGTTCATCAAAACTTTAGATTGGAAGAGCTGGGGATATAGTAGAGCACATGCCTAGAATCCCCCAGTGAGGGGCTGAGGTGTGGCTCAGTGGTCACCTGCCTAGAATTCCCCAGTGAGGGGCTGGGGTGTGGCTCAGTGGTCACCTGCCTAGAATCCCCCAGTGAGGGGCT